AAAGGACCCGGAGAAAAATCCATGCGACCACGTCGAGAGACACGCAAACTCGAAATACAGCAGGCGTCAGGGTCGGGATGGAACCCACGACCTTCTGTATACCAGGCAAGGTAGTTAACATCTCGCCACCGTGGCAAGATGTCATTATCATGCCAAAAGAATAATGATGATGGTGGTGGCAGTGATGTGGCAGCAGCGGTTACGGTGATGATGATGCTGAAGTTGTGATAACGATGATAATGATGAAGCTAGTAGTGCAAGGGCGGCGCTAAAATTATAAGAATGACATCATAATGGTAGTAATGCAGAAGCGGTGATTTTGATGATGATGATGAGACAACGGTGGCAATTATGATAATGATGAAGGTAGAGGTGTGAGGCAGCATTGAATGTATGCGTTGTATGAATATGATCATGATGACTAGATGATGATGATGACATTGGAAAATAACACTGGCTAAAATATGAACTTGCAATCTTATGATTGCTGCAATTAACACCATGCCGGAGAAGCTGTGTGTAACAACCAGAGAGCAACAACAAGTACGGTGACAATCTTTGCAGTAGCGATGCACAAAAGAACGAAACAACAATATATCACATTTAAAGGAAGGAGGCCCATCTATAAGCCATTAAATGTGATAAACATTCATTCCCAACGTAGCAGGCGCGAGCTGGTGATTGAGCTGCTGTCGCCGGCGTGCCCTGCCGCGGCATATCAAGTGCGCCACGAGCATGCGAGCGTCGTCGCGGGGAGGCTGCAGCCATGAATTTAAATTCACGATCGCCTCCCACGTGAGCCCTCGTGCTCATGGCTGGAACCCGCAACGGGCACATGTCTATTTCAGCAGGTGGGGTAAGTAAAGACGCAGCCGAGCCCTGTTATCAAGCGATATCAAGCGATAACAGGGCTTGCTCGCACCACTGCTGGCGAAAGGGCCTCCACGATAGAGGTCCCTCTAGAGCAGGGGCCCCAACCCCCGGGCCACGGACCGGTACCGGTCTGTGGCCTGTCAGGAACCGGGCCGCACACCACTTCCATTCGCGCCTCTTTCCCGCACTGCGCACTTGTCTCACAGTGTTGGTGAGCCCACAAGCTCTAACCCCTCAAGCTAACCCCTAGTAGCCACAATGAGTAGAAAATAAACGTAGCTGGAGAGCTTATTTGAAAAGGGGGAAAGACCCAATGATGAAACCCCCCTCCCCCCCGGTCCGTGAAAAAATTGTCTTCCACGAAACCGGTCCCTGGTGCCAACAAGGTTGGGCCCGCCGCCCTAGAGGGCATATCGGCCGACTCTTCCCACGCTGGACAGACGCCTCCGAAAAGATGGGAGCACCCACGCTGGACTCCTCCCACTTGCCCATCAACTAACCACGGTGTGGTGTACTCATTCACTCTGATGGGGAGACAAAGGTGGTGGGGGGGGGGGAGAAACTCCCCCATTGTGTCAAACAGTCAAAGTTCAATGTCCGAACCGTTGCACCACAGCGGCATTCCACAGCAGTGCATCGTTTATTATTATTATTATGACGTGGCACTCACTGCCCGTGAGGCAAGACTTGCCATTTTAATGCGCGTACTTTTACATGTTTACGTAATAGCGGTTATTTTTTCGCGCTCACAAGACCACAGTTTTATTTCACAACCATCCCTGCAGCAGTGACGACAACCTTGTCTACACACACAGCTGCTCTGGTGCAGAATCCCCCAAGCACAGACATGTAAGCACAGATCTCTTTTTATCGTCACTTATTTGAATAATTGTGATGAAAACGAATGAAAAGTGAATAAAGGGGCTCGTTAAACTGCTCATAGGAATTTACATTTGAATGATTTGTTTAAAGGGTCTTCGAGTTTAATGCTTCCAAGAAGCATTACGTTTTGCAAAGACACCCTGAGCCAGTGCTGAGTTCACTGGAGCTGAGATATTCGATATTTAAGTAATGGAAAAGACTAAAGATTGTTATCACGATTACTCCACTTACTGGCTAAACTAAAAAAGTGTAAAATTATCACCTCTTCCCCTGCTAAATGAGAACGGTAATGGGCAGAGATTGGTGATGTCACCGGCATCATTTGCTGCGTCATGCTCGGCATGGGCTTACGGGGGTTTCCAGCCTTTGGGAGAAAATGTGGGGGTGGCCATCATTTTTAAAGAGGTGCCACAGTGTTGAGATGTTAACGACCTCACCTGGTATACAGGAGGTCATGGGTTTGATTCCAACCTTGACGCCTGTTGTATATTTTGAGTTAGCATGTTCTCCCCGTGGTCGCGTGAATTTTTTTCTGGGTTCTCCGTTTTTTTCCTCCACATTAAAAAAATGTGTTAAGAGTATTTGACTGATATACATTTCCACATGATAAGCCACTTCGTTGGGTATCATTTGTGGCCAGGTCGCTTCTCAAAAAGAGCTATTATATAGCTCAGTGGGATTTGCCTGGTAAAATAAAAAGTATAGTTTGATCATTTTAATAGTTTAAAGGGGCCCGAGTTATCCACTTAAAATGAGGAGTCGATTACAACTTTTAGTCGATGAGCTTACTAAGCTAATGTTCCCAGATCTAGACCTCACTCAGTTAACACAGAGCTGTGGTGTCCTGTAGTATTGTGAGAAAAAGCAGCCGCCCAGAGAATGTGGGAGCCAAACAGACTTCCGGTAACTTACAACAAATGTTGATAGTCTTTGCAACATCTGGGAATCCAATGTGATTGTAACCGCAATAGGCAAGTGAAGAGCCATTGAAGATATGGCATGTCAGGAAATACTATGCAATATATTGGCATATGAGCTTCCCAGATACATTTTTCCGAAGGCAGGTACGTAAAATGGTAAAAAGAAGTTTAACGGTGATAGAAAAGGAAAAACATTATTTAAAAGTACTATAGCCTTCCAGCACAGCGTGAAACGCGAATGATTTAACCTCAACCGTCCTGTAAAAACGAAAAGTTAACTGTTTCAAACTCAATTGTGAACCCAATGTACCGCATTCTAAACGGAAGCTATGGGACGTGTACATTGATTCCATGTAATGTTGGCGGGGCTGCGTGTCACTAACGCGTGTTCGTCTCTGTACAACGTCCACATTGGCGTGCACCGCCACAACAAACAGGGCTGCGGCACACTGGCGGCAGACGCTTCAACAAGCGCATCCAACAACCGGCAGCCGATAACGACAAAACTGAAATAAAGCCGTGCCACCGGACCGATGAAATATGTCTCCGGTAAAGAGAAATTGAGACGCAATGAAAAGCGCGAGAGAGAAACGAATTAGAGCGGGGAGGGGGGGATGGCGAATCACCGACTGCTCGCTTTGCCGAGCTGACGACGCCTCGCTCACAAAAGCAATTGCCGCGCTGCGAAAGCGTCCATCAGACAAGTGACAAACACGCATTTCATATTGCACGCGTCGGCTCAGTAAGCCGACATTGTAAACCACAAATGGCACCGCAAGGAGGAGATGGAAATAAATAAATAAAACATTTTAATAATGAAATACAAAGCGCAAAATCCGCGCCGCGGGCACTCGTGGCTGCAAACGGTGGAAAGGAGGTGGGGGGGGCACTCATCCCTCGTCTTGTGACGCAGCTGAAATGGCCATGGCTGCCGCTGACAAAATGCTCGTCTGCTGGCGTACAGCAAACCATGCCCACGTGGCTTACACATAGAATTCGGCCGCGTGCCCCTTTTACACATGCAAGTCGTACGTACATGTTTGTATGTTGAACTTCTTTCGCACCGCACATAGCCAACCGTGCAAATCGGAGGTGCATGCAAGCCACATGGGAGTAGAGTTACTTTGTAGGCAAAAATGTCAAGGTGCAGCCCTTGCAATTTCTTGTTCAGGCCACTTCCCTCCTCAATTCATATATGTATAATAAAAGATATATATAATAATAAAAGATTCATCATTTACAGCCGTGTGTCAACTCAATTCTGGATGAAGAGATCCTCCTGCCATGTTGTTATGCGGGTTGTTTAACCGTACTTCATCACGCTGGCTCAGTGCAGGGTGAAGGACGGAACACAGACATGGAAGCAGCATAGAAGTATATTACAAACACAATGGCTGCACTGCCCTCGCGCCGATCACCATTGTAGCACAACTCCAGCCAACTATGAAAGCCTGGCATGCATTATGGTCACCCATCCAGAGTCCTATCCAGGCTCGTGTCTGCTTGGCTTCCGACATCTGTTAGGATCGGGCACATTGAGTGATTTTGTCAGGCAGCCAACAATACAAGTCATGCGATAAAACACGAGGATTTATAACTCTCTGAAAGTGTACCAGGCACTGGATGGTGTTCAAGATACAGAATGTGCCAAAAACAACAAATGGTTCCAGTTATAATTAACGGAAAGGTTAAAAGTTAAAGGTGCAGCCCTGCAATTCCATGCTCAGGCTACTGCCGCCAGACGGGCCGCCATTGGAGGCAACTGCAGGGCCCCACTGAAGGGTTTTTTTGACCGATTATTCCATGCTGCCCAGAAATGCTGGAAGAGGTGGGAGAGAACCCACACTCCACACAGACTGCTATTCTACAGACTGTGGTCTACCTAATTGGGACCTTATTGCCAGTATCAAAGTATGAAAAATAAGAATAGGTTTTACCGTATCTGGCAATAAAACAGGTGTTAAGATGTCAAACACAAAATATAAACATTTTGCAAGGAATCAAGTCTGCGTTAATCACAGGTACTTATGGTAACCATGCAAACAAAAATGCTCTGATAACACTGTGTAACATTTTTTTTGTTACTTCCTAATTGCTTATGCCTCAAAAGTACAGAAAATGGCTATTATTCTCCAAAAACTTTGCTTTTGTGACCAGGACAGTGATATTTTAAAATGTACCTATTTTCCAGAACATTCCAGATAGATTCAGTGCTGAGTAAACTTGGAGTGACTTTTAGAACATTCTAGAACTTTCCAGTAATATAAACAGTAGTATAAATACAGGGGCCTTAAGCCCACCAGTTCAATTTCACCTGCGAGCAATGCAAAAACAACTCTGGAAGGTAATATGGACAATGATTTCTCGGAATTTCATGTTATAAAATGTGTTAAAATTCTTAAAATTGCAAAAGTTTTAAATTTTAAAATATTTTACAATTTTCAATGTTATTGAAAAAATATATCATATATGAAAAATGTTTCGAGAATCTCTTACACATTCGTCATGGGTGAAATAAATTTATTTTTGTAGGATGGTACAGAGGGGAAAAGAAAGCCAAGAAGTTCGCTATCCCCAGAATTTGGCGGGAACCCACTGACCACTCAAGCAACTGCTACTTCTGCAAGGTGGACCCTTCCAAACGTCGGACTGGCAAAAATGCACCTGCTATCACGTATCCGGGACCTTCCTTCATCCATCGCCCCGGTGCCTCACTGCCACAAACTACCCGTACCCACTCCTCCGGAGCGAGAGCAGTCGTCTTTAGAAGAGGGCAGCAAGTCAGAGAGCGAGGAAGACGTTGTAGATCCAGATGACAATTTCAGAGGTGGAGCTGAGAAGAGAAACCCATACTACCCCAACCAAAAATACCTCAACGACTTGATCAGAGATCCTGGTCTCACCAAGTCCAATGCCGAGCTTTTGACGTCAAGGCTCAAGCAGTGGAACTTGTTGGATAAAAGTGTGCAAGTCGCAGATCAGATGAAGCGTCACTAATCTTTTTGCAGCTTCTTCACCCGTCAAGATGGGCTCTACTTCTGCCACAATGTGGCCAGTCTGTTCGAGGCAATCGGAATCGCCTGTAACCAGAATGAGTGGTGCCTCTTCATTGACAGCTCTTCCAGGAGCCTCAAAGCCATGCTGCTCCATCATGGTAACAAGTACCCGTCTCTTCCCCTGGTTCACTCGGTGCACCTCAAAGAGGATTACAACAGCATCAAGACCTTGCTGGATGCCTTGAAGTATGATGAGTACGGCTGGGAGATCATCAGAGACTTCGAAATGGTGGCATTCCTGATAGGTCTCCAAGGCGGTTTGACAAAGTGTCCCTGCTATCTTTGCCATTGGGACAGCAGGGACACCAAGTCACACTACCACAGGTGGGACTGGCCACAGCGGACCGAGTTCTCTGTGGGAAGGAACAACGTCAAGTGGGAGCCACTGGTGGACCCACGGAAGGTGCTGATGCCACCACTGCACATCAAATTGGGCCTTACGAAACAATTTGTCAGAGCTGTAGATAAGGAGTAGGCAGCCTTCAAGTATCTTCAAGACTTACGACACAAGAACACAAACTGTGTTACAGTGTAACATACTCATGATCTTTGAAACTGATTGGCCTACACCAGAGACAGCCTTCTTTAGGGCCTAGGCTCACGAGTGTCAGACCAGAGAATGCCAAAGGTGATCATCAGTACAAACACAATGCACTGTCACGTACATTTATAGCTCGGAGTGAGCAACTACAAAATGGGACCTTTTTGCCAGTATCAAAGTTTGAAAAAAAATAAGAATAGGTTTTTCTCTTTCTGTCAATAAACCAGGTGTTAAGATATTATCAGATCATGTGTGTTTGCATGTTCACCACACGTACGTGTGGCTAATGCAGACTTTATTCCTTACAAAATATTTATATTTGGTGTTTGAACATCTTAATACCTGCAAGCAAAGGGTAAAACCTATTCTTATCTTTTCCTACTGTGGAGTACCTATTAAAATTGCTGGGATGTACAGAGGTAGTAGGGATAGGATTGAAGAACCATACACCAATGTTTCAACTTCTGTGCATCGGGAGATTGAGCCATTAAATTGTGTATAGCTAATCCAGCGTGCTAACCATTACACCATGGCAACGACCCCTAATTTGTGCATAATGATACGTATGAATGGTGATTGCAAATGAAGGACCGAGGGAGAACAGCAAGAGTGGTGGTGCCCATCTCAGACGAGCCGAACGTCCAATCAGATGGCAGGAAGTCGTACGAAGAGGAGAAGACCACGTGGGAAGAAGTTTATGAACTTAAAGCACCAGAGAGGAGGCCAAGCAGCAGACCAAGAGAGATGTGGTTGCCAGTAGCGAACTGGGATGTGAGGGATTGCGGAGTGGACGTGGAGCCGATGGCCCAGGACAGGCGTGAGGAGAGAGAGGACCAGGCAGGCTGACCCCACACAAGTGGGGACAATGCCCAGAAGAAGATGCATCGTGAATATAGTTTTGTGTTGAGTGGTGCTTACTCTAATGTTGGTGGACATTTCAAATAAATATGGCAGGGGCCAGTCCAGTACTCAACTTAGCGAGGACAAACTTCACACACAATATGGTACACATACGCTCCTGTATACATACATTCTCAAGGACCGCCTTGGTCAACATTCAGTCTATCAATTTTTGTGCACTGCGAATTCTACAATGAAAATGAAGTCTCGCACTTAGAATATCTGGATATTTGTAATATCTACACACGTTTGCAAAAACATTTTCAGTCGTTTTGTGTGCACAACCGACGATAATGTTGTGTCTGTTTTTTATAAGTGTACCAATATGCAAATTAGCATCTGTATGTTCTGTCCATCTCATTGATTCCACACATTTGCGGATAAAATTTACGATGTCCTGCGGACAAAGGCAATCAATGGCTTATCATGGTAAAGTACACGCGAGCACAACAATGATCCCCCATTAGCCTTTCGGCCATATAGTCATGGGCTGTCAGTGAGCATCTATGAAGGTGAGCGTGTTCGAGAGGGTGGTGGTGTCAAATCACCGACTTTACTGGGGTAGAGCAGCGGTGACACAGTCATGAGATCACTGAACTGTGAACCCAGCGACTTGAGTCCGATGCCTGTTAACAGCTCACATCGATTCCCGGCCACCGCGAATGTTTCTGGTCAGTGAGGCAGGAGCCAGTCCTAAGTTCCCTCCGTCACCAACCGGCACAGACCAATGTGGGAGTTCATAAATCTCCGTGATCCATTATCTTGATCACTAAAGCACTGGATTACAGGCTACCTGCTGTATCAATTCATATTTTTTGTCGGCAATGTGTCCATGATTATTTCAGGACAGGGAGTTCATAAAAGGCAACAGGACAGAGATTTCAGTGTGGCAGAGGTACAAAGATGTTTCCAAGTGAACGGGTATTTATTCCAAGGCAGAGGAGACGAGACAGAGGGGAGGTGCCAAACTAAGACGGCATCAACGAGAAGCAACCTCGACTTGAGCTCAGGTTCACTATGATGGGTTTCAACAGGAGGCCTTGGTTGCCCAAGAAAACATGTGGGAGGGGTGTAGTAGCAGGAGCTGGCGAGGAGGGAGAAGACGTGGGGGTGATTCCTAGGACGATCGTGGAACAAATGTGCACCAGCCCCAACTGGTCTAGGGAACTCTCCCAGAAAGGTTCAGATGTCGCACGTGCTGACCAGGTGTCACGATCACCAGAATTGTTAAGGAGCGTTAGAACCACTCTGCCACCACTGCCCACATATGCACTTCAGGTAACGTAATTGGTGATTTTAGTTGTTCATTTATAATATCAAGATGATACAACAAAAACAGAACGACAGAAATATGATCTTGATGAAGATACTATATCATTGAGTAAAAAATATCATTGAGCATCATGTTGACCATCCAGTGCATTAAGTAATTACTCTAAATTAAGGAATTTAATGAGGTTAACATTAATGGCAAATTGACATTCATTTTAAGGTGTAAAGTATACAGCAGACATCCCTGGCTATATATGAAACATTTTCTTCACGTACATTTCTGAAAAGTGTCCTTATCTATCCGAGTGATCGTTGAGGAATTTAAAATGTGGTGCCCATATTTGCTGTGTCCACATAATTGTCACTTTTAAGGCCTCCTGCCCAATGCTGCAATCAGTCGCCCCATAGACTAAGTGCAAGGCTGGGCATTTGGATCAGGCATGAGCCGTGACATCACGACAGCGCAATAGCAGTTCTAATTCAACGCAATTACAAACATAATGTGATTGCCACTTGCACAACCCCACAGTTTGCTGTATAGATTGTTTCGGCTTTAAAACAAATGCTGAATTTATTATACGAAAAAAAATCCCATTATTTCACACGAATCTACGCTAAACGATAAGATAAATAGACCCACAGCAGAGTGCTCATGGGCCCGCGTATAAATAATTACTAAAACGCAGATAATTGTCATATGAACATTTGTGAGGTAGTCTCAGCTCATATATATTAAAATAAAAGACAACCCTTTACATTCAATGCATGCGGATTCGAATTATATAACGTTGCAGCCATACACATTACACACATTTGTAGGTGACGTTCCCTGCTCATTTGTGAATAACAGCTCATGAATTTTAAAACGCTACACCAACCCCGATAGAGAACAAACGCATCACTCACGCACCACGGCTACTAAGAGGGCTTCAATTCAATACCCAGACCTCAATTACAGAGCCGCTCGCCCCACAATAAGACCAATGGCATATCTACATTCTCAATCGGTTAAGAAATTGTCTGAATTAGGACATGCCCTTCATGAAAAGAGACCCATCAATAAGGCCAATCGTATTAATATTGTGTTTCTCGTACACTATGATCAACGTGGGATAAATTCATACCGAAGCAGTGCCATGGATTTACAATGCCTAATTCAAGAGCAGAAAAATATTCACCACTGCTAACCTTTCCTCTACAATAACCATCATTAACCATCATCTTCTAATGATCACAGCGATACACTCCGCTGCCCCTGACGCGGTTACCTGGCTTGACCACCTGAATGTGAAGTTGTTGCTGTTGCTCTGCATCTACAGCAGCTGTAGAACAGAAAATAATATAATGGAGAAAATAATGGTATGCATCCACTTAAAATGGACACATTTTAATATGTAACATGTTTTAGCGGTGTGGTCGGCTACAGGACTTATCACCATTGTTAATAATGAATGCACTTTAACATCCTTTTATCAATCTGCTGCTTGATGAAGGTCTCGCAGTGTTGAGATGGTGATGGAGGATGTTTGGGCATACTTCACCACGCTGGTCAGTGCGGACCCGTGAAGGGGGGGCATGCCCAGGATCAGCCGTGGTCAGGAATCAAACTCAGGTCACCGGGTTCCCATTGGAATGCACTTACAACTGTGCCATCACTCTACCACAGTATACATATACTTGTACACTTGTGTAGTGACATAGAGTCGGTCACGGAGCAGCATAGCGCTGGCTGCTGGCAGGGAAGGGGATCTGCAGCTCGCAGCAGCCCTGACTGACAGCAGGTCACGCGATTGACCAGAGGGGGATGTAGGGGAAAGCTCACGGAAGGGGCACATCGAGAACCCGCTAGAAGGCTCCAGAAGGGGGGCATGTCCAGGGGCGGAGCCAGCAGGCCACGCTGGCAGTAGAAGAGGGGCCCCGGGAGGGGAGCTCGGGGCTGTCGTGTGGAGTGGGGGGGGTCCCCCTCGGCGTCGCCAGTCTGCCAGCCGTGCTGACTGGGAGCCGTAGTCACCCAGTGTGAACTGTTAAGGCCGTTTAATAAACACAGTGCCTCCTACTCTTCGTGTCTCTGAGTCAGTCACTACACTTGTATGCAATCAAGGATGGAGAGGTCCATGCTTGGAATTACACTGAGAGAATGTAGAACAGATGGATCGTTGAGTGATCACAAATCACAGATATCCTCATAAATGTTAAAAACGTAGGTGGGCTTGGGGCAGAACAGATCATCGCTCGCAAGGATGAGACTGGCGATGGAATTGCAGCCAAAAAAGTGAGATTAACTATGTACTGTACATTAAACTTCTTTCGCGCCCTACGTAGCCAAACGTGCTCAGCGGAGGTGCGGGGGAAAGGAGAACAATCTAAACACAAAGAGCTGTTCTAAAGAAATTCGTTTTCAATCTAAAATTTAAAGTTCATAGCGCCAGTGGCTTCCTAATATCAGAAGAAAGAGTGTTCCAGACGAACGGAGAAGCGCATCTGAAAGCACGCGATGCAGTGACCGTCTTTATTCGATGGTTAGCCAAAAGCCTCTGCAAGGATGACCTGTGGATATCAAGCACTGACAAGTGCATACGTAAGTAGCGTAGTGTGCACATGCGTTGTTTCCTTATCATCTCCACTTTCCAATTACTGCCGTCTGATTGCAAGAGCAGCCCTCCTTTGGCGTTAAGCTAACTCCAGCTGTGACAAGACTGTCTAACCAACCGCCTAGAGCGGGAACTGTGAACCCACACAGAGAGACGCCATGCCTTCTGATACTCGTCAGCAGAGGAATCTCGGGTGAAGAGCACGGGTCAATTCCTAGACATGCTGGCCTAGACGGATAGTTTACCAATTTATATTAGAACGCTCACACAGCACTGCGATGGTAAACACGTGTCGAGTACGCGCATGCAATACATTACTTGATTCGTGTAACTTGTAACTGGGTGAGGTCACTCCCTGGAAGGCACTAGGAGCAACTACATTGACCACTATGTTTAAAAAAACGAGGAAGATCATTCATATGCACAGATTACGTAGCAGGCAGCACAGTGCCGAGATGTTAACTACCTCGCCTGGTATGCAGGAGGTCGTCGGCTAGATCCCGACCCTGATGACTGCTGTATATTTGCAGTTTGCATGTTCTCCCCGTGGTCATGTGGATTTTTCTCTGGGTCCTCCGGTTCTTCCCTCCACATGTATTTGACGACTATACATTTCATAATAAACTATACATTTCATAATAAACTAGACATTTCCTCATAAGCCACTTAGTTGAGTTACCATGTGGCCAGGTCACTTCTAAAAAAGAGCTATATAGTTCAGTGGGCCTTACCTGCTAAAATAAAAAGTTTAGTTAGTTTAACACGAATATATCAGATGTGTAAATGATTGCAACTCACTGCATCTCTGAGTGCAGGTTCGAAGTCTGCTTAATCACGCACCGACCTCGCCCATTAAACATTTCCGCAGAGAGGATACAAAACTAAATCTGTGGAGAAAAATCCATAAGTTCCAATCCACCGAATAATTCTAATCCATCACACGGCTGATGAGTGTGCAAATATGCATCGGCAAAAGTAATCAGCACAGTAAAACAAACCACTTTAAACGCTAGCCTGCACAAACACACACATCTTGTTCAGTTAAGCAGAACCAATAGTCATAAACACAAGCGAGAACAATAATTCATACGCACATTAATAACGCACACACACAAAGACAAATGTATCCCCCAGCACAGCGTTCTGGACTGCGGAGGAAATTTCTGCTGGCAAGAAGCTCGCAAGACGGGCACAGAATTCTCGTCAATGCCAGGTGCGGTCCAGTACCACATGGTTGCGTTTAGCTCACGTGTCTTCACGACTACCACACTGCACCAGAAACTAATTTTAGTGGAGGCCTGAGCCAAGCTCACAATAATCCAAACCGATCTATAGATGATGTGGAAAAGCAGGGCTAAACAACGGTCAGCCATATTCTTGGTTCTTTCGGTAAAGTCACGTAGAAGGGAAATAATAAATTAATAAAAATTAAACAATAAAATTCTCACGACGTTTAGATTGCAACACAAGCAATCATCATCAGGTGTGAAAACCACAGCAAGAATAATCCAAACCTGATGATGATTGCTTGTGTTGCAATCGAAACGTCGTGATAATTTTATCGTTTTATTTTTATTCTACATTGACTTTACCGAAAGAACCAAGAATATGAATCCCTGTAGTCACGAAAGCTTTAAATAGAAACGGTCAGCCAGCATAGACTGGTGTTGCTCATCACTGCTCTGGGGTAATTTCAGATTTGTGCAAACAGTAGATGCTGCGGTTTCCGATAAGCGCCACGGTGGCAAGATGTCAACTACCTCACCTGGTCTACAGGAGGTCGTGGGTTCCATCCCGACCCTGACACCTGCTGCTGCTGTATATTTGGAGTTTGCGTGTTCTTCCCGTGGCCGCCTGGAGTTTACTCCGGGTCCTCCGGTTTTCACCTCCACATTTAGAATCAACATCACGCGTTTTAGAGCATTTGGCTGCTATACATTTCCACGTGATAATCCACGACGTTGAGCTATCATTTATGGCCAGGTCGCTTCTGAAAAAAGAGCTATATACGTCAGTGGGCCTTACCGAGTAAAATAAAAATTGTTTATAGTAAGCGTGAGAGTTTTCACTTAAGAGTGTCCATAGCGGAGTTGGAGTGATCAGACCCGTAACTGTGCAGGTGCTCCGTGGATTGTTGCCTCGCGAACTGAGGAATGGCGAGAGCTTGGGAGGCCTTCACCCAGCAGTGCCTTGGTCTTGGCTGGGATGGTGACGAATCACTTCGCCTTTTATCAAATCGACTGCCGCACCAAGGCCTCCCGACGCCGCGACGGCGACTGTTTGTCCATACCTCACCACGCTGGTCAATGTGGGTTGACAAACGGGGGTGTGCACGCGTGCCCGCAAGCAACGGTTCAGATATGAATCGCCACTGATGTTAGCCGTGAATTGAAATCGAACTCGACCGGGTCACCTGGTTCTCAATGCAGTGCGCAATCCACTAACCCACAGCTCCCCAGAGTCTAAATGGGAAATGTGTTTATAACCAGCCAGTACACGGATGGCGCAAGTTCTAAAGATGGGTGCAAGGGCTGCAGAAATGCGCATGGCACATCACGTATATAACACCCAGTGACTCGTCCTGAAAATTAGCAGATGGAAGTAATATATATTTGTCTGGTCTTGCTTCTTTTTGCCCTTCCTTAGGAGACTAATTACAAATCCCCCTTGTAGACAGACTGTCCTGTTGGTAGCGTAAAATAAAGACACAGCCCCGCAATTGTTTGCTCACGCCACCACCGCTCGCAGAAAGCCCTCCACTCGAGGGAGCTCAAGAAAGACCCCCCCCCCGAGTATTTGGCCTATGTCTGATTATGCTGGCCAGATGTCTTGGGAGAGAGGTTGAAGTACCCACATTTCACCACACCACACCTGACGAACTGCGGTTTATCCATTTACACAGCTGGAAGGACAGAGGCGGGGGGGGGGTTAACAAACGTGTTTTTCAGCTGCAACATTGGGAGATCACGCGGTGTTGGTTCACGGACAGCATCATGTGTTGCTCATCTCCATATCCCCGAATCTGAGACAGTTTAGGACTTGCTATGTATCATCAGTGTGATCAGTGTGGCACATTCGTCATGGAATGGACTCATAAGAGTGCGTCATAGCAAATGTTCAGACTTAACTTAATTCGATTGTGTTGGACAACACCAGTCACTTTTCAAGGACGATGACCGCTGATGACGTTCCACAACGTAGTACATATTCTATTGGCTCCAGGAAGGTAATGTGTGGAATTGACCCCCGACTGAGATGTCGACTCTAAATACTCGTGATTGAGTTTTGGCGCTGGGCCGGTTGGATTATTTGGATTAAGTTTCTGCCCAGCTAATAATTGCACAGATCCAAACTTCGCCGTAACCAGTCTGCCACCAGAGGAACTGTGTACGGGTTTGTTCATTTCGTTTTGTTCGTGTTACGAATCTATTCTATGCAAGCAACAAAAGCAAAAATCCAGTATCGCTCTCAGAAGTGTTTTCGGATGTAGCGCGTGTTGTTCGACAACCAAGTCCAACGTTTTGCTCAATTTGCTGGGAATCGAATTCAGTTCCTCAAGAAGCTCCCAAGCACGTGGAACAAAACATCGGAGGTCGTGCCGAACGACGCGCAACAATGGCCCGAAAATAAATCAGAAATCTGTAAGGCACAACTGCAAAAGTTGTAGAAAAAATTATGTTATCGGTTAACCAACCAGCACTGACCAACGTTGAGTATGTTCAACACAATCCTCTTGACTCTGACACAGCATGAATATGGGCCTTGATACAACAGTGGACTGACAAAGGGCTGTAAGGTTTTTTTTATCTTGTATGGAATGGATCATCATGTGACCAATCCAGTTGAAATGCACCATGTGGTTTGGACAATCAAATTTAAATTGGACTTGATTATCAATTACATGACTTTCGAAATCAATAATCGATTGGGTAAATCATTATCGAAAAATCGATAACCTATTAACAACTCGAGTGAAGTATACAATGTTTGAGAGATCACTTAAAAGAAGTGTAGCCCCTGCCAATTTTAGGTGAACACATTAATGATCAAAATAGGAAACAAATATTCAGTTAAAAAGCAACTTTGTTGACAGGCCTGATATGTAGGTAGAAGGGCATCTCTCCCAGTCATGAAACTGGGAGTGACAATCCCAGTCAGGGCCAATGCAGCCCCTCACCCATCCATCATCATTCATGGCAGCCATCATCTGTGCACTGCTGGATGAAGGCCTCCTCAAGTTGTCGCCATCCATCACATTCCTATGATGCAACGAATCCTTTCAGCTCCTGCAGACGGGCTGAATTCATCACTCCATCTCCACAGTCGTCTTGCTTCCAGGCTGCCATTCCATCGTTTTCCTCGACTATAAGTCATCATCCCTTCTGCCCAAGAACACTTATTTTTCTCAGTCAACAATATCAATATGAGCTATATCATCTGCC